TACCAGCAATTTGAACTCTTCCAAATAGCTAAGATGAGAGGTCAGAGAGATTTGAAGGAAGAAACATGGATTTGAGAGGTCGAGACTTCCAGCTAATACCATTTGGGTCTGGCAGAAGGATCTGTCTAGGAATGCAACTGGCTCTAACTATGGTTCGTCTGATAGTGGCTCAGCTTGTGCATTGTTTTGATTGGAAGCTGCCAAATGACATGTTACCATCTGACTTGGACATGACAGAGGCGTTTGGCCTTGCAATGCCTAAAGCCAATCATTTGCTTGCCATTCCTACCTATTGACTTTTTAATGAAAGGATTAGCAAAAACTGTTTCATAGTATATATTTCACGTTTGATAAGCTTGATTTCAAAAAGACTGATGAAAAATAAAGTGTCAACCATCATTTTATTTATGAACCATGGAAGGGTATACTACTGTGACATTAATTTCTTAAATTAAGAAAATAAAAAATATCTGTAAAACATAATTCATTAATTATATTATTCAAAAGTTCAACAAATAAATTGTGATTTAAATAATAATATTAATACATGGTAGAGATCGAATTAAATGATAATAACTTGTTAAATTTAAGCGCCTGTAAGATGAAATAACTAAAATATTTTTTTTAAGAATTTATTTGAAATTGTTTCAGTTTTATAAACTATCGTGACATTTAAATAAATTTTCAAAGACTAAAATAATATTTTGTTCAAAATTAATAAATTACCCTTCTTCATCCTTGATATTTTATGGTCTTAGGTGAAATACAAAATGTCTTATTCTGCGTTTCTTTCCATATATAAGAGATAGATCCATACATATAAATTTTAAGGAAATGTTTGATAGAAGAAAAATTTTTAATTTTAATTTTAGATCGAAAATATTAGTTTTTCATGATTGACATAATATCTATTTAAAAAACAAGATTTGTAAGAAATATGGTTTTTCAAAATGGTTTTATCCCAAATTTTCACCAAAAAATTCATTTGTTTAAACTTAAAAAAAAAAAGACTAAAATCCTAATTTGGTTCCTTATAATATTAAAAAGTTTTAATTTGGTCTCATTTTAATTTTTGGTTTCAATTTAGTCCTAATTTATTTAAAATACTTCAATGTAAGACTTCCGTCTAAATTTCACAAACAACGTTAAAGATTCGTGAGAATCACGCTCGTGATTCCAAATCACGACCTTGATTCTCATGCTTGATGTTAAATCTTGGTGGGAGAGGGCTTTAATTCAAATCAATTAACATGGTAATATCTAGAGCTGTCAAAACGGGTAACCCGGCCCGGCCCAGCCCGGCCCACCACGGGTTGGTGGGCTAAACGGGTTGGCTCACCTAATTTGAAAAAATCACCTAATTTAAAAAAATGTAATCAAATTTAATGCCTAATCCTGCAAAAATAGTATGCACATAAGCTTTTCTAGAGAAAAGTAAATAAATTCCTACACTAATTACATAATTTGAAGAAAAAATACATAAAATTGAGAACCTATGATGGTCTATGAAGTTTTATTTGGCCCAACCCAATAGCAGAAGTTTTTTTTTTTTTTTTTTATGGGCTGGTGGGTCAGCCCGGCTCACCACGGGTTGAACCCGGGTGAGCCGGGTTGTTAGTGGGCCGGGTTTAAAATTGGCCCACACTGAAATTTGCAAAAATTTTTTAGCCCAACCCGGCTCGAACCCGTGGTGGGCCGAGTTGACTCACCGGGCTGAGCCCATTTTGACAGCTCTAGTAATATCGTGCAACCAAAACCTATGACAGAACAACTAGAAATTTGAGATTCATGATGATGTATGTCAAATGAACCATCAGTAATTTGGTTTCTGAAAAGGAATTGAATAAACAAAAGTGGATTTAAGATGTAGATGTGCAATTGAAATACAACCCCACTTCGACTGCCAGAGAAAATATTTAGTGTCCTACAGATGCATTGTTTTGTCTGCCACATAATACTCTCCGTCTCTACAATTTCTGCTAGGTGACAGTAATACTGATAGATGTAAATGTCAACTGGTATAGTTATTGATTTTTTTATTTCGTTTATGAAATTAAGGTTTCAATTTGGGATAATTTATTGTTATTTGTCATTTAGAATTTTATTCTATTTTGGATTATCTTCTTAGGGTGTTGGGAGTTCAAAGAAACCATTATTGTAAATAGTTGACGTTTTGTATAACTCTTGGTTCCTGTCCTACATCACTAAAGCATTCCTTTATTACCAAAGTGAAAATTGTTTATCTTCTTTAAGATAGTGTTTGTTTCTGCTGATTTACTGTTTACGACGAACGAAAGACGAAGAAAGTGCACGTTTGTTTCTGCTGATTTGCGAGGAAAGAAAGGCGAAGAAAAGCGGGAGAAGCTGCTTTGCCATCCTCGCGCAAAAGCGAAGAAAAGAGATGAAAGCCACGTAAGATTTGAGAAAATACGATAATACCCCTCCCCCAGAGGAGTGGGTATGCGGACCGGTTCGGCCCGTTTAAGTCCCGGTCCGCGAAGTTCGCATTTTTAACGGGCCGGATAAATCCGGTCCGCAAAATAAATGGACTTAAATCTTCAAGTCCGTATCCGGCCCGTGAAGCCCGCGGATAAACGGATAAGTCCGCGGGCCCAATTAAATCTAAATTGTTTAAATGAATATTGACTCAGATTTTAAATTTCTTTTCCTTTATTTAACCTATGAAAACATGGGGGAAAAAAAACATATAAAATGATATAAATATACTTCTAATAATAACATCAAACATTGTAAATAATAAATCAAAGTCTTAAATAACAAAGTTTACACATTCTAAATTTCTAATAGAAATATTTAAGTCTCAATGCCTTTAAAATTTAAAGTCCAAGCATACCAACTATTAACCAAATATTAAAGCCTTACTACCTTAAAACTTTAAAAGTCTTAATACACAACCAAACAAATACAAAACATTTGTAAGTCCAAGTACATTAAAGTCTAAATACCTTAAAACATCAAAGTCTTAATTAATATCTTAAAAACAAACATAAAATATTTGTAAGTCCAATTACATCTATCAAATATAATCAAGCATCTTCAATAATAAAATTTGAGTCCACATTTAAACGAGTAATCCGCGGGCTCGCGGATTAAATCCGCAAAATCCGCAGACTAAACGGGCCGGACCTAAAAAGTCTGTATGATTATACGGATTAAAAAAAATGGGTCTGTTATCCGTGAAGTCCGCGGACTTACGGACCGGTCTGCGGACTCAAGTCCATATACCCACCCCTACTTCCCCATGCATGCAGAGACTGTGCCATTATAGGTAAACTTCATTTTTCTTTATGCATGAGGGAGGGTAGGAATGAAGCATAATCGATTATGCATTGCCACATAATCGATTATGGTGGCACATAATCGATTATGGGCCAGCATAATCGATTATGCATGGCACATAATCGATTATGTGCCATATATAATCAATTATGTGGCATATTTTTGCTTCCAGGCGTGCCCAGAACGGGCCGTTCCAAAATTGGAACGGCCCGTTCCAAACTACTAAAACAAGGGTAATTGAGTAGCCTAGAACGGGCCGTTCTCAAACTGAAACGGGCTGTTCCGAAACTGGAACGGGCCGTTCCGAACTAGTAAATTGGCTTAAAAACCCTAGTTGAGAATGAGCCGTTCTAAATTGGCATAAAATGCAACCCCAAATTTGCAATGTTAAAAATTTCTTAATTTTTTAATTGGTAAAAATTAAGTTGTATAATTAACAAATGTATCTTCATTTCATTCTAATTTATGTCAATGATTTATCAATTTTTTTAATTTATTAATTAACTTTCAAAAATTTTATTGTACATTTTTTTATATTAAAAAAATTCTATTATTTAAATATTGACATCAAAAAGTGGAAATATAAAAAAATAAAGTAATACATGTTTATAAAATTAAAATAATAACACTTTCATAAACATTAATAAAATAATACTAGAAAATATAATTATCATAATATATTTTGTTATTATAATTTATTATTAT